TGAATACCTTCTACCGAAAGCGAGAGAACCGTACGTGGACATAAAGGAGCCCTTATGGCGAAAATAAGAACGAAATAGACTTTATTTTGAGTGCACACCCAGGCATCGTGCAGGATATAGAACTGCTTGGCAGTGACCATAGAATGGTACGGTCCCGAATACGCCTAGACTTGAAGAAATGACAGAAACTGATACGCAAGAAGCCAATCAACGAGCTAGCACTGAGAGGGAAAGTACAGGAATTCAGAGTGTCGCTGCAGAACAGGTACCCGGCTCTTAGTGAGGAAAACAACCTTAGCGTAGATGCAATGAATGATAATCTGACGAGTATCATTACGGAGTGTGCAGTGGAAGTTGGAGGCAGGGTAGTTAGACAGGACAATGGCAAGCTTTCCCAGGAAACAAAGAACCTAATTAAGAAGCGTCAAATCATGAAGGTGTCAAGTACAACAGACAAAATAGAATTGGCAGAGCTTTCGAAGTTGATTAATAGACGTAAAGTATGCGATATAAGAAGGTATAACATGGAGAGAATTGAACACGCTCTGAAAAACGGAGGAAGCGTCCAAGCAGTGAAGAAAAACTTCGAATAGGCAAAAATCGGATCTATGCACTAAGGGACAAAGAAGGCAAAATAACTACCAATATGAAAAGGATAGTTAAAATAGTGGAAGAGTTTTACAGAGATCTGTACAGTAGCCGAGACAACCATGACTTTAATACTATAAGAACTAGCAGTAACCCAGATGACACCCAACCAGTAATGATAGAAGTCAGAAAAGCCTTGGAGAGCATGCAAAGAGCAAAGCTGCTGGTGAGGATTAGGTAACATCAGATCTGCTGAAAGATGGAGGGCAGATTGTGTTAGAAAAACTAGCGACCATGTTTATGAGGTGTCTCCTGATGGGAAGAGTATTAGATCCTTGGAAGAAGGCTAACATCATCCTAATACAGAAGAAAGGAGATGACAAGAATTACAGGCCGATCAGCTTGCTCTTCGTAGTACACAAGCTATTTACAGAGGTAATTGCTAACAGAGTTCAGAAAAACATTACAGTCCAATCAACCAAAAGAACAAGCAGGATTTCGAACAGGCTACTCAACAATTGACCACATTCATACTACCAATCAAGTTATAGAGAAATGCTGAGAATATAGCCAACCACTATACATAGCTTTCATAGATTACGAGAAGGCATTTCATTCAGTAGAAATATCAGCAGTCATGCAGACACTGCGTAATCAGGGCGTGAATGAAGTGTGTATAAACATCCTGGAAGAAATCTACAGGGGATCGACTGCTACCATAGTGCTTCATAAAAAAAAAGCAACAGAATACCAATCAAGAAGGGTCTAAGGCAGGGGGACACAATCTGCTCAATGCCATTTACCGCATGCTTACAGGAGGTTTTCAGAAGCCTAGAATGGGAACAGCTAGGGATAAGAGTTAATGGAGAGTACGTTAGTAACCTGCGCTTTGCCGATGACATTGCTTTGCTGAATAACTCAGGGGACGAATTGCTACTCATGATTACGGAGTTAGACAAGGAGAGCAGAAAGGTGGGTCTTAAAATTAATCCGCAGAAAACGAAAGTAATGTACAACAACCTTGGAAGACAGCAGCGCTTCGAGTAGGTAGTAGTGCACTTCAAGTTGTAAAAGACATATGTCTACTTAGGACAGGTAAAACCGCGGAGCCGAACATCGAGACTGAATGTAACTAGAAGAATAAGAATGGGGTGGAGCACATTTGGCAAGCACTCTCAAATTATGACAGGTAGATTGCCACTATACCTCAAGAAAAGGTATTTAAATACCTTCTTCTTGAGGAAGCTGCATCTTGCCGGTACTTAGCTACGGAGCAGAAACCTGGAGACTTACAAAGAGGGTTCAGCTTAAATTGAGGACGACATAGCGAGCAATGGAAAGGAAAATGGTAGGTGTAACCTTAAGAGACAAGAAGAGAGCAGAGTGGATTAGAGAACAAACCGGGCTTAGGGATAACATACTTCAAATCAAGAAGAGGAAATGAACGTGGGCTGGGCATGTAGCACGTAGACAGGATAACTACAGGTCTTTAAGGTTAACTAACTGGATTTCTAGAGAAGGAAAGCGGGTTAGGGAGAGATACAAGGTTAGGTGGGCAGATGAGATTAAGAAGTTTGCGGGTATAAATTGGCAGCAGCAAGCACAGGACCGAGTTGACTGGCGGAACACGGGAGAGGCCTTTGTCCTACAATGGATGTAGTCAGGCTGATGATGATGATGGTGGTGGGTTTAGTCACATTACGAACAGTCCTGGTTTCCCTAAATCAAACGGTGCGGTGGAGCGGTCTGTGAAGACTGTGAAGGATCTTTTCTTAAAAGCAGCAACCGGTTCCTCGCACTGTTGTATCGTGACACACCAGGTGTCACGGAGTACTGCCCGTCACAACTCCTCATGGGGCGACGGGTTACGAACACGCATTCCCAGAGACCAGGGCAAGCTGTCACTGGAACTACTATGATCAGACGTCGTCATCGAAAAGGACGCCTCCGCCAAGAAATGGCAAGCTAAGAAATTCAATTGTTGGCATGGGGCAAGAGAGCTCCGGGACCTCTCATCAGAAGATGAGGTGTGGGTAACTGATGCAGAGTGCGAACCCAAGTTCTTAGCCGGGACCAGCGTGCAGGATCGTACATCGTCGAAACGCCCAGCACAGTTATACAATGAAATCGACGGCATCTCATGCCTTTTCCCCAGATACCAGTCTAACATTCCCAGTCTCCCTTCCAAGCCTGGGACCAGACCAGGAGCGTCAGCCAAGAGCAACCATTGCCTGGCCAGCACAATACGACTAACATGGCAGAGCCTGAAAATGCCGCACAAGGTTACCAGGTCAGGAAGGCGTCTAATCTCACTCAAAAGATTGAATTTGTCGATCTTCGAAGTTAGATGTAGTGTTGTTGTATTTGGTTTTATGAATCATAGGTGGCATCACTTACACTAACAGAGGGCACCCACTAACAAAGGACACCACTGAGTGTTTACAGAGATGTATATATAGGGTATGAATAAACAGTACCAGGCACTTAGTCCCCAGCCCAGGTGAATGTCACATCGTCCTTTTGTTACTCTCGACACCACCGTCCTTGGGCGGCGGCAGAGTTACCTTCGCTGCACACGTCAGCAGTTCCCGCGTCGGGCAGCCAGTGAGATCCCACAGGAAGTTATGGGTGGACAGCGCCAACAGGTGGGCATATGTGCCACGTGCAGTTCGCCGCGACCAAAGGTAGCCAGAGCACTTGCGTAAGCTAACGGTGTGAAATAGCTCACATCCTCCTCTCCTACTATGTTGAAGAGGAAGAGCAGGTATGCGGGCACTAGGCGGCTATGAGCACTTATGGAAGACAACAATCGAGGATGGCTCATGTTACGTGGGCAGCAGCCGCTGGCAGTTGTGGCTGGGCATCAGCAGAGTGAAGATGGCTGCTAGTCTATCTCGGCATCTTCCCTGAGTGGTTCCGGGCTAGCCACAGCCCTGTAAATAGCTCGTCAAAGGTAACTGAATAATACGGGCAGAAAAATTTGAGTTGCAAGTGGATTTCTTAGTTATGTTTAGTAAACTCGCCAAATAGATCACTTAAAAGACGTGTTGAAGCAATGTCATCGTGGTGCTCAATCAGGTCCCTGCAGCCAATAGTGAGCAGTGATCAAGGCTTGTGCAAAATGCAATCAGCTGTCTGCACTCCATGTCAGTGAAGTAAAAACTTAAAATAGCCTTCTATACCTCAATAAATTGCATGACAAATAAGAGCAGCAGCGATTTCCACCATTTCTAATTAGAAGAGTTTTGAACACAGTGAAAGAGTAACACCCATTTCTACCACTGCTCTACTACGGGTATAGGCAGAATGATAAGTCCACCATCAAGTGGAAAGCCAACTAGCAGGCTTGTGCGAATAGTGAATTTTAGGTTCAAGGTGCATTTGAAGCAAACGGTGATTTTGGTAAAATAACTTTGAATCCCCCCCTCCCCCCGAATTCGAATAGCATATATATCGCACATGGTAAACAAAAATGAACATACCTGTCATTACCTGTCAAACCTGCACAATATTTTTAAAAAGTTGATACAAAGCCCATGCAAATGCCTTTTTTTTTTATCAAGGAAAGCAGCAACAACTTTGAATAGTAACAAAATTTGACTCAGTAGAAGGCAAGCAGCAGCCTGTAAAATGCCAATATTTAAAATTTGCTATACTTATAGCCTATAAATCGGTATGTCAAGCTTTAAACTTTAAATATAATTCCATGTGAACGCCAGTGGCGGCCTATAAAACGTCACTTCCTAAAATTTCCTAAACCTTTTAAAGTTTGCTTGAACAGTAGCAGAATTTGACTTTCGGTAGAATGCAAGCAACAGCCTGTAAAATGTTACTTTTTAAAATTAGCTAAATTTAGAGCATAGAAGTCGGCATATCAAGCTTTTAAGCTTAAAAATGATTCGATGTAAGAGTAATATCTTCAGTTAACTTTGAAGTGGGGCTTCGCGGCAGTGCAGATTTCCCCTCGATACACAATGTCACGGCTTGGCACCTATCCACTGCAGTGAAACCATCTTTACTAAATGTCTCATGGGGATTAATATGCATCTATTCGTTTGTTTTGAATAATTCAAAATTTTCAATATTTTAAATTCAATTCTCAATTATTTCAAACACTGAATTATTCGTTTGAAAATTCGGCACAATCGAATATTAGTACAAGTTTACTAGCCACTGGTAGCAATGTGCGCCACATTGGCAGCACTGCCAGAACCAGTCTCACAAATTTAGGAATCATGACAGCACATCATTCTCAACTAAACTTAGTCATAACTGTGGTATTCAATAGCTACCATAAATGAGTACACAAGAGCTACCACTTAGCTTTACAAGGAGCATTGAACGCAATCAAATGCAAACGGGTTCACGCATCACCGCTGGATGCATGAAAGTAGTATCAACAATAAAAAATGCATGACATCTAACTCACTGTTTTATTTGGGGCAGTGATAACACTTACAAAATTATTTTGCAACACTGTGTTTAGGCAACTAATCACAACAAACATGCACTCATATTGAGAAGTAGACCAATGTAACATAATCAAACACCTCGAAAATACAAACATTAAAAACACAAATGCCACAAAAATATTCATATCTTGCAAGGGCAGAGCCAATTTCCAAAGGGGCCCTCTAATACCTTTCAAGACAAAGATTTATTTGCAGGTAATACAGACTGCCCAGCAGATGTGCATCAAAACATGAGTAAAAACATTGATATCGATCACAGGAATCACATTATAAAGCTCCACTTCGTCTTCAAAGGCAAAATAAAGAATGACAAGTCCAATGCAAGACAATACAAGAGTGCTGTAACAAACAAGGCCACACGAGAAGTGGTGCAAGTGTTACCAAAAACCTGGAGCAAAGAAAAAGTGTTTACGTAAACATGGCATAATGTGCTTCTGATTACAATAACTTCAAATTGATTTGGCTCTGCATCAGGTTTACTCCTCAACAGAAAAGCGTAGCACTAGTCTGAAGAGAACATTACTTTTGTTCAATTAGGAAATAAGCAAAATGTTTGGTAAACAAGTGCCTTCATGCGTTCTTTGGCCAAAACTATACTGTTACGGTTAAAGTCGAAGGGTGTTTATTAGCAGGGCGAAGTTGATGGTTCGGTAGTAATGGCGTCAGTATCTGTCACCAGTTCACGGTTTCCTCCTCTTCTCCTCTCTCGGCTCATATCCGTTGCATTTCCCGGCTCCCAGACGAAGCCCGCTGGGTGAGTATGAATCATTCTGAATGTTGAGGGTGAAACCGTTTAAGGTGGGCGACAGCTGGGTCGGTTTGACCGACGGCCAGCTGATGTCAGCCGTGCTACCACGTATATCGAATCGCTGCAGCGATCAACAATGACGAATGGGCCACTGTACTGAGGTAAAAACTTTTCGCATAGGCCCTGTTTACGTTGTGGCGTCCACAACCACACAAAGTCTCCTTTGCAGTATGCTACAGACTGATGGCGGCTGTCATAGCTTTCCTTTGATCGGTGTTGCGAAGCCACAGTACGAAGACGAGCAATACGCTGGGCTTCTTCGGCTAGGCAGAGTGTCTTGGAGACAGAGTAGTCGCTACGGAAGTCAAGTGGTAGAATAGTATCAATGCAGCTGAACGGTGAACGTGCGTAAAGGAGGTAAAAAGGACTGTAATTGGTTGTCTCATGTTTGGCCGTGTTATACGCATAAGTAATGAAGGGGAGAACGTCGTCCCAGTCCTTGTGGTCAGACGATACGTACATGGCCAACATGTCAGTCAGAGTTCTTTTCGTACGTTCTACCAGCCCATTCGTCTGAGGGTGATACGGGGAGGAATGGCGGAACTGTGAATTTCACAGACAAACCAGTTCTTCGATGGCATCCGCAACGAACTGACGACCACAATCACTAATGATCACGCTGGGAGGGCCGTGTCAAAGAATGACGAATCTAAGCAAAAACATGGCCACGCACGCCGCTGTCGAGAATGGTATCGCTGCAGTTTCTGCGTAACGAGTCAAATGGTCGACGCACACTATCACCCATCGATTGTTGTTAGCCGAGCGTGGAAATCGGCCCAAAAGGTCGATACCAACTTGATCAAATGATAGATGAGGAGGTGGCAGCGGATGGGGAAGACCTGGTGAAGGAGTCGTAGGACACTTGTAGCGTTGACATTGTTTGCAACTTGCGACATAGTGCTTGACTGTGTCCCGCATTCTGAGCCAGTAAAAATGCTCTTGTGTCCTATTCAAAGTTCTGATGAACCCCAAGTGACCAGCTGTCGCATCGTCGTGCATGGCCTTCAGTATGTCAAATTGTAGGCTCTGTGGTACGACTAGAAGGAAGCGTACGCCTTTGATTTGATTGATTTGTGGGGTTTAACGTCCCAAAACCACCATTTGATTATGAGAGACGCCGTAGTGGAGGGCTCCGGAAATTTTTGACCACCTGGGGTTCTTTAACGTGCACCCAAATCTGAGTACACGGGAAGCGTACGCCTTTAGCCGAATAATTTGTCTTGTATAAAAGGCCGTCACGGACACAAAAGCAGCCGTTGGCTTGAGGACGCTATGCCACGGCAAGTAATGGCTCCAAGCTAATATCAGCCTCTTGTTCTTTCTTGAAAGTACTTAAATCTGGGAATGTGGAAGAAATGGAGGTGAAACAGTCGTCAAAACTGTCTTCTTGACACTCAGTCGTCTTCAGGTGAAGGCGGGAGAGACAGTCAGCATCTGCGTGGCGGCGCCCAGACTTGAACGAGATGACGTGCGTGGCGGCGCCCAGACTTGAACGAGATGACGACTCCTGAAGTCGAAGAGCCCAACGTGCCAGTCGACCATTCGGGTCACGAAAATTCACCAGCCAGCATAAAGCGTGATGGTCGGTAACGATAATGAACGGACGTCCATAAATATAAGGTCGAAATTTGTGTACCGCAAAAACAGCTGCCAAGCATTCTTGTTCTGTTACGGTATAGTTGAATTCAGCTTTGTTGAAAGAGCAACTGGCATAAGTCACTACGTGCTCAGCTCCTTGATGACGCTGCACAAGTACAGCACCTATGCCGATGCCACTAACATCAGCGTGTACTTCCGTAGGCAAGGACGCATCAAAGTGACGCAGTATGGGCCCCGACGTTAGTAGAAACTTTAGCTGGCGGAACGCATCGTCGCAAGCTGAAATCCAGTTGAAAGGGACGTCCTTTTGAAGAAGACATGTTAGGAGATGCATCATGTCAGCGAACCTCCGAACGAAACGACGAAAATATGAGCATAGGCCCAAGAAGCTCCTCAATTCCCGCACCGATATCGGTGGTTCGAAAGAGCCGACGGCCTTGATTTTTCGTGGGTCTGGCGTTATTCCATTTTTGTCAATGAGATGTTCAAGTACTAATGTCTCGGTTTCACCAAAACAACATTTCTTAGAGTTTAGGATCAAGCCGGCCTTTTGTATGCAATCCAAAACAAGACTGAGACGTCTGTTATGCTCGTTCAGTATGCTGCCAAAAATCACCACATGATCTAGGTAGCACAAACAAATTTCCCATTTAAGTCCTCAAAGTATTGTGTCCATATATCGTTCGAATGTTGCCGGTGCATTACAAAGACCGAACGGCATAACATTAAATTCGTAAAGGCCGTCAGGTGTCACAAAGGCCGTTTTCTCTTTGTCGTTTGAGTGCATGGGTATTTGCTAATACCCTGATCGCTAATCCAGTGACGAAAAGTAGGCAGCGGAATGCAGGCAACGAACGACGTCATAAATTCTAGGAAGTGGATACACGTCTTTTTTGGTGACCGCATTTAGTTTTCTATAGTCTACGCAAAAGCGCCATGATCCACCCTTCTTTTTTACTAAGATCACAGGCGCTGCCCACGGATTAGATGACTCTTGGACAACACCTTTTCGCAACATATCGGTGACCTGTTCAGCTATCACTGCCCTCTCTGTCGACGACACGCGGTAAGGTTTTTGATGAACGGAGTGCGCAGATCCGGTGTCAATTCTGTGATGAGCACAAGAACGTGGTAGTGATGTCTCCGTGTCACCTTGTGTGGTATCGAACACAGAAAGATGTGTCACAAGGACACGTGCAAGAGCGTGACGTTCATGCGAGGGTAGCGACTTGCTGATCATTCTTAAGATCTCTTATTCAGAACTGCTTATCTGGGGTTCGCTTGTTTCAGACTGCTGCTCTTTGCTTAAAAGGGTGACAGCCCCGTACGTGATTTCGTCGAACTCGGCAAGCTTCATATCACGTGGAAGAACAGCAGGCACCGAAGAACAATTGAAAGCCCACAAGCTTGAGGCGCCATTCACAACTGTCACGAGAGAACGAGGCACAAGTACATTTTTCTTCACGCAACCCGTCGCAAGTGGTTGAATTTGCGTGTCAAACGATGAAAGGTTGGCAACAGCAAGATTAACCGGAACACATGATAAAGACCACGGCGCTGAAAGAGAATCATTCGACACGACGAAACAGTTTTTCTGCGGTAAAGATGTCTCAGCAAGCGAAGACAAAAGCATGTTATTCACCGTAATTTTGCCTGTGCCACAATTAACGGAAGCACCACAATCCCGAAGAAAGTCAATCCCAAGAATCACATCATGAGTGCACCGCAGTAATACCAAAATTTCCGTGACAAGATATTCAGCACTAAACAAAACACTTGCAACACAAATACCTAGAGGAACGAGGCACTCTCCGCTGACACCACGAAACGTCACACCACCATTCCATGGGAACATAACCTTTCGACCAAGTCTTTCCTTGAATGTGGCACTCATGACGGAAACCGTAGCACCAGTATCCACTAACGCAGTTGCAGGCACACTATCAATTAACACACACACTTTGTTTTGGGACATCATATTAGGAAGAGGAGCAGTTTACAGAGATGGAGACCCGCCGGCGACCTTACCTCCATCGGCCGCGCCGGCTAGTTTCCCTATGGACGCGGTGGTGTAGAAGGTCGCCGTGGGAATGGTGAACGGCGTGAGCGACTGGTTGGTGACGTCAGGCTGCGGTTTGATGCTGGCAAGTCACTCCTCCTGTTAAAATGGCGGAAGGAATTCCTGGGTAGCGAGCCTATAGCGTTTGTTGCGCGATGTTCTGCCGGCCAATGACCATCGTTGACGCGTTCAAAGTTAGGCCAAGTCGGTGGTGGGCCATACCTCGTCTCGCGGCGACAAAAACAAGAGATGTGTCCTGTCGGACTGCAGCTGTAGCAAACAGGTGAAGGGCGACCGACGTTGTAGACTTCGGGATAAGCCGCCCTCGGATGCTGCGAGTAGTAGATACAATTTTCTAAGTGCCAATTTGTCGCCGTACCTCGATAAGCGCGTTGGTCATGCGTCACGTTATCAGGAAACGTATCGTGGTGCTGTTGTAGGATATCGGTTCAACTGTCTGCAACGCCTGGCATGGCTGACAGCGAAGAAACCACCGGTGCAGCTTCGTGAGAATGATTGAAAACCTAACCGAGCTGCTCGGCTTTCACAGCGTTCATTGATTTGCTGTGTCGCTCGAGTTCCTCACGGATGATTTGGCTAATAGTGGTAGCAAGGTCCCAATGGTCACTGCAGCTGTCCTCAAAGCTTGCAACCGCCGCAACATTCGCCAATCTGCCGAACTTTGGCGTGATACCGTGTAGCTTCAGGGTCTCAAACGTGTGGCAATGATGAATCACGTCAGCTACCGAATTGAGGCTCTCCTTGCCAATCAAGTAGGTATACACGTCTTCGGCAATGCCTTTCAGAAGATGCCTGACTTTGTCCTCTCCGAACATACGAGGATTTGCCATCTTACACAGCTTCAGGATCGTCTCAATGTACGTGGTACAAGTCTCACCTGGCACTTGAGCACGCTAAAGTAATGTCTGCTCGGCTCGCTTTCTTTTCGCAGTGGAATCCCCAAAGCACTCTGTGAGTTGGATAGTGAAGTGATCCCAAGTTGTTAGCGACTCTTCGTGGTTCTCGAACCACACAAGAACAGTGTCTGTCAGAAAGAGAGCAACATACTCTAGCTGAGCCGTAGCATCCCAGCCGTTGCACTTGCTCACGCGTTTGTAGTGTGTCAGCCAATCTTTCCACGTTCTCGCCGGGTTTCCCTGAGAAAGGGCGTGGCACCAACTGACACATCCAGGCATTGGGTGTTCGCGCTGGAGGAGTTGAAGATGACTGTAGGTCACCGTTGTTCGACATCGTGAGCTCCGGTAGTGCTGGAGGCAGTCGCGCGAGGCGTCAGCTTCGGCGAGGACCTAGCGGCAGTGGCTCAGTCGTTTTGGGCGAACACCCCAGCTCCTCCACCACAAAACTGTTACGGTTAAAGTCCAAGGGTGTTTATTAGCAGGGCAAAGTTGATGGTTCGGTAGTAATGGTGTCAGTATCTGCACCAGTTCACGTCTTCCTCCTCTGCTCCTCTCTCGGCTCATACCCGTTGCAATATGTAACGTCTTCCTCCTCTGCTCCTTTCTCGGCTCATACCCGTTGCAATATGTAAACAAGAAAGCAATATGAAAGAAATAAATGCACACAAGATACGTATCGTACTAGAAAATTATTTTGCGAAGACGAATCTAGAAGCAAGAAAACAATTCCAGTGACATAATAATACAGGTGTCTACATTTGTGGTTGTGATGTCCATAGTCTTCTAAACAACATTTATTTAGCACTGTCAGAGTCTTGTAAAAGATCAATTCAGACTTGCAGGATCACACTTTTGAAAAGAGGAACTGACAGACCTCTCACTGAACTGTTCACTTGCATTTGTTCCTACACACGTGCTTGTTGAGGTTGCTTTTTGACAGAAACGTCTGAGGAAATTACGAGCACTTGAACGGTTGGTCCCTTGTGTGCAAGAGCAGATGCTTGCTCAATGTGGACTTTCGAGCGAAGCTCCGGGAACACTGGTGGCACTTGTGTGGTCGCTCGCCTTTGTGTGTGCGCAGGTGGCCTATCAGATGAGCTTTCTGGAAAAAGCCCCGAAGGCACAAGTGACACTTGAATGGCCGCTCACCTGTGTGAATCCTGATGTGTGTTTTTATTTGAAACAAGTCACCAGTCTCATAGTCACAGGAGTTACAGCAGAGACGGTGACGATAACGTGACTTCTGATTGCTGCTTGCTGGATGGCGGGACCATCCCAGTGCTGCAAAAATAAAAACAAGAAGAGTAAACTGCGCATCGCTCTCAACAGCAGTACGCTTTTCAAATTTTAGGACTGCCAGTTTGCGTGACCAGCAGCTACACAAAAATCGGGTACGAGCCAAGCAGCTATGAGCACAGTAGAGCCATGCGTAGTGTTTAACAAGGACATAGGAAAGCGAAGCAAGAGTGAGGACTGATGGTAGGGTGAGGAGGAGAGAGGGTAAACTATAGCATAAACATTTACAGTACTGGAAACCTGGGCCAAGCTGGTGGCGCTGCTGTGCGGGAGTCAACAAAACGAATTGACATTCTGTGTGCAGCAGCCGACCTATGAGCAGAGCAGAGTAAAATTGATGGCAGTGCGTCGCAATGTCGCGTACGAGTTCCTGTGTCATAAACTGTGCCAATAAACTCTGCACTTGGAACAAAGCCTTTCAGTTCTCCACTGTGACCATGCTTCAGAAACAACACTAAATTCGTCTATGCCGCGTGAAGCAGTGATCTTGCAGGCCCGTAGTAAATTCTGTAGCTAGTTAGCTGTGAATTTACTCCCCACACAAATTACCTAATATTTTTACTGTGCTGAAGGAACCAAGGGGCAGCCGTCAAAGTGACCACGAGTCATCAGTCTACGATTCGTTGGTGCAAAGCAATTCACAGATTCGGCAATTCTCCCTCGTAAGCTGCTGCAGTTTTTTTTCTACATGTTTGTAAACAATAACATTAAAGAAGGCTCAGAATTCAGAGAAAACACGTCGTCGATCGCGAGAATTATAAAATTCACTTCCCACGTACTGCCATAGTGCTTAACAGTATACTGTGTGTGGGAGCGAAGCCATGCCACGCCATTGTAGCGCGCTATGTAAAAGCTGGCACTAAAAGCTGGCACTCATACAGCCTGAGCAACGACTCCAGACGGAGATGAACTACTGCACAGAAAACTTCGCAGAAATGCCACGCCCCATTACTGAATTTGAACACGTGGAGTTCAGCGAACATACGTGTTAATAGCGCGAATTGCAAGGGGGGTTTCATAACACAAGTCAGGCCCAAGTACCATCATTTACTCTGCAATAGGCATCAAGCCGACAAAACGGCAAAACATATAGTTCGCAAATATCGATCATAGTTATGCTTTCATTGCGCAGGCTGCCCCTACAAATCACCTTTTCAAAACACTCGGTCATGTGTCTGTGCAACGTCGCATCAAAAACATGATTCATTCCATAAAATTATATCCTTTCTCTTCATTTGGGGCTCCAAAAACTCGCACAATGTTAACATTTTGGAAGCCTTCCCGTTTCATCAAACCTGTCGCCTTCCCGTCCTTCCAAGCAACGCGGACTTAGCTGACGAAGTGACGACGATCCTTAGAACGCCTGTTCGAACTGGAGTGGCCACAAATCACCATTCACAATGCAGGCGGCGCATTGGTGATGTGGACTGCAGCACCATCTCTAGGTGCCGCACGTTTCACCATAGCACAGCAAAAAAGGGAAAGAATAATCAAGCTGAGTGATGCGAGAGTTAGAAGGATGAAAATGGCAATATAGAAAAAAAGAGACAAAGATGAAAGAAAGAAAAAAAGAAATATGGAGATACAGAAAAAATTTAAATAGAAAGAAAGAATACAAGAAAAGGCTTCAATCTGTATTCGCCTTATGCCAGCTCCACTGTTTAATCAAATTGCACAGGCATAAAAATGGCTTCAATCTTTCACAAAACTATAACAAAGATAAAATTACAGTACTCATTATTACAAACAACAAGAACGTCTTGGTTAGGAGACACCTTTCTTTCTAGTTAGTTGTATTTTTTTCTTATCACACACCGAAACATAAACACACAAGGATTTCTGCTTTCACCCTTATCACAATAACTAAAATGTCCATAATATCGAAATGCCAGCGAAACGATTGAACAGATACTATAATGGTAATAACAAACCTCTTCTTCGCTAAATAAGCATAGAGGGCAATTTTCAGGCACAGAGCACAACACGTCAACCTATACGGTTTTGTACAGTGCACAAGTATGTAATTCCTAAGGGTTAGAATCTAGGAAAAGCTACAGAGAGGAACTAGGCAGGTTTTGTACAAAATAGAAAGCTTATTAGGTGTGAAAAGCCATCATGCATGGCTTCCCCATCAATGTGTTCTGAATCCTAACTTCGATTGTAAGCCCATACCTACAACACTTGAGCAAGTCCTAACAAATGGCTTCATTCAAGCAGCTTATTGCCGTTGTCGCATCTCTCAAGTGTTTTCTCTTGCATTACACACAAGCCAGTGAGCTTGAAGGCTATGCAGGAGCGAATGCAAAGATGCGCGTCATAACCTTGAGCCATTTCTTTACTAACTATTTTTTTTTATGTCGTGATTTAGTATCAGTGCAATTCCGGGCAAATGCGAGCACATTGTGCCATCCTGTGGCAGACCCCGTAAATATTTAAAATTTAAAATTTAAGTGCTCACGGCACTTAAATCAGCCAAAGGCCGTGGACTTTTCAGGAATGGTTTGTTCATTCCAGTTTATGGCATCGATCGTGAAGAGACATGGGAGCAATCTCCAGATGACTTTCAAGAATTACAAACTCTATATACTGCGTTATAATGCTTAAAGCACACATTTTCAGGAGCTTCAACAATGAATAGGCAATGTTTTTTGACCATGCTAAACAAGCGTAGCAGGGCCAATTTTGGGGACCTTTAAGCTTCGCCTTTAAGAGTGGGATGCATTAGCGGTATTCTGTTCCTAGGACGTGCTTTAAACACTTAGTGTATTAAATTTTTTTAAACTTGCTTTACATCCACTCCGTGACCTTAAGGGTGTAGTAGCGTGTGTGCCTTTTGCTATGGGTGAGTGGCCTTAAACTGTGAAGTCATTGTGATAATCTCTTGTTGTGACACTCAATGGCAATGTACGCTTGTACCACACATTATTACAACAATATTTCATGTTGTATTGCGAGGCATGTTTTCAGAAGACGTGTGTTTGTAAAGAATGAAAGTTACTTTCACTTCATGTCCAAGCAGAGAAGGTTATTTTTACTGTGTTCACAAGCTTGAAGGCATGGCTGCGAGGTAAAACACCCACTTGCCACGCAATCGACCCGGGTTCGATGCTAATGTCGGAATTTCTTCAGAACGAGCTTTTTAACCCAATCACGTTAATATTATAGCATATTAAACGTTGACTCCAGTAACCAAATGAAGTCGAGCCAATTTCATAACTGGGGCACAGATTCTCCCAACATTGTATGCAACAATAACCTATTACATATAGTAACTACAATACATTTACTCCATGTCGTGCCTCTGCTTAGTTTCTCAACTAAAATGTCTTAATTTATGACATTTATCGACATAAGCATACTCAAATGAAAATACTAAAATACTTGAATGCACGTTCCTATATACAAAAACAAATGCAATAAATTCACTTTGACCCCAATTGTAGTTTACGCAATAAGGCTGAAAGAAACAGGGTCCGCTAATAAAGGTGCCGATGAATGCAAATAGAATCAAAGAATAAAAGGCAGAATTAAAAAGTGAACGCAAAGAACTACGGAATCTTACATCTTAAATATCTTTTTTTTAATCAATTGATATAGTAATACAGTAGAATATCAGTAAACGAAAATCTGTCAAATGGAACTGCTGCTTAAATGGAACAGGTGCTTCTGACAAGATTGGTTTCGTGCTTGAATTCTGCAACCTTGTTTATATCTCAGTAAACGAAACTCCTGTCTGATGAAACATATTTTCATGGTCCCTTCAGGTTTTGTTTAGTGAGAGTCTACTGTACTTAACTACTGTAATCAAAGCCCATGTCAGCATCAATATTCTGACCATGCTACGCGTGCCTACAACAAACGAAAAAACAAACTAACTCGAACATTCATGTGAATCTAGTAGAGGACATGAAAAGGACAACCATGTGAGCCTAATAAGAAAAGATTAATCACATGGCACTTCACATAAAATGCAGAAACTACTGAGAAAAAAGGCACCAGAATGACCAGAAAATGACACAAAAATGCAATGATAGTTCAAGTATAATTTAAAACTTATAAAATACAGCTATTAGCACAATATTTGAAATGAACTGCTGGACATCCAACAATGCCCTCAGATTCTTTCCATATTCTGTGAGAAGAGCCTGAAAAGATAAAAATAACAATGTATTACAAATAATAAACACAGACAGCACTATCAGTTCTCAAGGCACCGATATTTCAGAAGCAGCTTCGGAATTCATCTCTAATGTTTGTGCAATGTTTTAACGCATAAATTCAGCTTTCATTGAAAATGATTCTCTAACCAACTAATGCATTATAAATTTTGAAGAATTAAATCACCATGCATGGTACATTTAGTCAAACATTCTATGACTTGCAGAGCAATTTGATTGATTGATTGATATGTGGGGTTTAACGTCCCAAAACCACTATATGATTGACTATATGATATGAAATGACCAAGGAATAATGAATAGCTGGGCCTGAGTTTATAATTACAGTGAGACATCTTTTATTACTCTTCCAATAAGGATACACATTCTGAAGTTAAAAGCTAATGATGTTTGTCTAACCAAAATATTTACTTGAATTTACTGGCATTATAACAATGCCGATTAGTTCAATTTACAACAGAGTTCGTCACAGAGGCGTCTTTCAGAATGAAACATTGAGTTTTACAATTAGGATCCAATATTTACACTTGTTCTATGACTGCTCACTTGCAATGTGGCACATCTGATTGCTTATGCACATGAAATCCCTACAAGTTAGCTTTGTGGAAAAAAAAAAAACGTCTCTCGATTTATCATCATATAAATATTACAAACTCTTAGAAATAGCTTCGGCAGATAGAGGACATCAGGTAAAAAGTCTGCCAAGCTCCAAACGAACACCACAATGGCAGAGTATTGGCAAGACAATAATTGATCTAATGTGAAATAAAGATAAAGACTCACTGATCACAGCATATCTGGCATAAGTAAAATTAATGATTAAAATTTCACATACTGAACACCTCAAACATCAGTCATAAATGAGAACACAAAAACCACCCCAATGCTTTTGCTGGATCATGAAAGGGACAAAATGACACCGACTTGACACATAAGAATTGAAATCAAAAGATGATATATTGAGAAGAATTTTCAATGAATTTTCTCAAAACCTAGTGTCTTATTGAATGCACATAGGGTACTGAACTTGCTTTAAAACAAAATTGTTAAATGCTCAACTGCTGTAAGGAAGAAATCATGTACTATATATGCAACAAGACTGCAAAGCACTTGGAAGAAACATGCATGATGAAAAAGCAAAAAACACACACGACTCCCATAGAAAGCAAATTTACAAGTGATAACTTTTCAAAACAAAAGACATGCATAGCAATATCTTAGCCACTGCAGTAGTGCAGTGCCGATAATGAAAACATCAATATTTGCCAGGCCTCCAGCTTCCGACACTAGGATAAGGTTAAAAGTACTGAAGGACGGCACGTTAACTTTAACCACGGCATCTGGATGCTGTTGCAATACTCCCCCCCCCCCTTCCCCTAGAAATGTGACAGTCTTGGCTAGGTATTGGACACGCATCTTCGAGACTAGCGGCATGGCATTTGAACTACCAGTTTCCATAGGTGGTGTAATACATATAAAGCTTTGATGCTCTGCTTAGGTTTGCCAAAACCTCCTAGATTTTTCTTGCATGCCAGATGAACCCAAAAAGCCCGTCGTCTATGGTGGCACCACTTATGTAGGAAGTAACTACAATTAAGAGAAACTACAGCCGTGCTGAGGCGGTTGGCAACCATGTGATGACGAGCAGCTGTAGAGTTTTTACAGCAGCAAAAGACGACCGGAGCTGTCCGCACTCTCGCAATATAGCGGTTTTGAGCAACGGTTGGGGCTGGTGGCAGACAACTTTTTTTTGGAAGTATCAGCACTGAAAACCTCGTTGTGACTGTTTTATTTCACTGCTTTCTCCGAGTTTTTCATCGCAGCTGTATCGTCGAAAATGCAATGTTTACGTCTGAAAGCCAAGATTTCACACTGAAGCACTGAAATAATTTAAGTATTTGCTATTGGAGCGGATTGAAAAAAGCAGTGAAGTTAGCTACAACTGTGTCATCGTTATACCTATTCCTTTATGTAGCTCGAAATTTAATGTGTGCACTTAAATCATACTTTCTGCATACAGTGCATACAATTAACGTGCAATCTAAGTTTCCGATTGCAAATATGCCCCATGTTAAAGCATTTATAACGCACATCGATGAATTTATGTTTCGTAAAGCGTAGTAAGGTGCAAAATGCACCAGTTAACAGTTAGCAGTCCATTTACAGTTGCTGTAAAAAAACATTTTTGTAAATTATTCTAGCAAATGAGACAGACAAGAGAGTATTGTTCTTATAGTTTTCAGAGCAAAATATATTGCCACGTTCCTTTCCTCAAGTTTTGTTATCACCCCGCTTACACTATGTTCAGCGCTAACCGTGCCTACGGTGTTCGAAAAGCTTCGAGGCTGTAGTAGATTGTTGTGTTAAGATTATGCCCACATCGTGAACAGTACAGATTATTCTGTAACTTATGTCGCCGCTAGCGATAACGCTAGAACATTCGACGGCAAGTATATAAATGCCGATGCCCTTCGCCACTTGTCAGTTGATCGACAGCCGACGCTGTATGCACCGCTATCAGCGCAAGTGTGCTACCGTAACTCGACTTCAATGCTTCACAGGGACATATATCTGTTACACCATATACGGTGCACCTGTCGAGGATCATAGCAATGTCGGGAACGTTTCATGTGCAAAATCTACGGCACGATTGTAAGAGTCGCCGTAGTGGGTGACTGCGAAATACTTTCACACAATGTTTTTTTTTTTAAGTACTGCCGAACGCAAGTTCACGTTTTCATTGCTTTTTTTATTTCTCTTTCCGTGACTTAAAACTAAATGGAAGGCTTTTTTTCCCCCCGGCTGATCACACTGTGACTGGAAAAAAAGAAGTAAATAATTACTCCGGATACTAAACATCACAATCACTCCCACCATGTTTTACAATCACTTGCACATGATTGTGTGACCATCACTCACTGATACAAGCACACAAAATTGCGAACTTTGAAAAAGGGCATCTTACACCTGTATGCAAGTAGCTGCCCCATCAAAACATTCAGCAAAGACTCCTTCAAACTGCTAAATTGATAATAGAGTACATAAACTATAATGCATTTCTACCATTTTAATACTTTTTAGGTCATTTTTTGTTGCAAATGAGCACCAAAAGTTAAATATTTGTTTTTTGGGACAACCCTACATTACTGGCGCCACCGCTGTGATACCGACGACAGTCGCTTCCCATGTGTCCGTCGATAATCCGGCAGGCTGTGGTTTTGCACGTTCACTTATGAGAACCACAGTTGCATTTAGACAATGGCACAAAATGTAAATGTGGTCGTATATTAAATGTGAAGCATTTCTCAGCCAACTTTGGCGACTTTGAGCGTATGTATCTATCCATCCAGCTATCGATCTATCTAGCTACCTATCTATCCAGTTATCTATCCATCTATCTGTCCAGCTATCCATCCGTCTATCCAGCCATCTGTCTATCTATCGAGCTATCTATCCGTCTGTCTATCCAGTTATCTATCCGTCTGTCTGTCTGTCTGTGTCTGTCTGTCTATCTATCTAGCCGCCTAGAACTTTTGGCTCTCCTGGCCGTTTCAACAATGGTCGCGATACCAAAATTGGTATGGCATAACATTACTGTACGAGGGGCATAAGTGACTAGTCATAACATTAAAATTATGACATGCATATCATAATTTACATTTCATCGTCTTGCTGCTCTTGCAGGTGGTTTCGTTCACACGACACATTGGAAAACTCGAACGGTATGACATGACTGCATGGCGAACATAACAGACCCTAACGTGGAAATCATGACATGATAGTCATGTGAGTCATCACTACATGCCCCGCTCATGGTGCGCTGGCGATAGTTTCGCTAGTTCAACATACGAGAAATTTGGTATTATGAGACGTGAATGGGTGGCAGAGATATACGACTAGTACACAAATAATAATCATGAGATACATGTCATTTAAGAATATGATTACATGCCACGCTCATGATGCGCTCGCGGCAGTTTGGCTTGCTTCACATATACCAAATTTGGTATTACAAGATGTGAATGGACGATGAAGGTAAAGGACACTTCCAAACATCATAGTCATGGCATGGAGGTCATGTACGACATAATTTACATTCGCCTCGCAACATTGTGCTTATTTTAAAGTGACGTACAAACCTTCCCCATTCATGCTTCGCATATTATCGATTCGAACAATATGTGGGATCTGCCTATTTTTTAGACTTGTGTTTCTTACAAGAACCTGTGCTCGCAAAATGATTCCACAGATGCCTAGAGTGACTTCATCGCACAAGTATTATTTCTGGAAGTAATGGCCCGCAACACATCGTTTCTTTGCCATGCAGCACAGCTGCTAACTTGTGTTTTGATGAAAGTAAGTTTCTTGATAAAATTTTTTCCAGATTTATTGTAGTACAAACATTTTTTCACTGTTTCAAGCAGCAGAATTAGAGGCCCGGAAATGCCACAGTTCACAGAGTGAAGCGCTCACAACCATTCGCCACACACACCACATCTAGAGTGCTCTGGAAGCCATAGTTAGACAAATGTAGGTATTAGAAAGCCAAACTATTCTCAGTGATATGAATAATAAGGTATGTCATAACATCGCAATTGAATGGCAACAATAAAATAATGCACTGAACCCATAACTCGACCTGGCACGAACAATTCAACACAAACAATAGTAAATCTGTTCACAAACTATCACTGCAGATACTGAAATATGACAAATTACCAATGTATAAACACAAATGGAATTTATTTAAGGGCACTAGAAACACTTGCACAAGTGACAGTATTCAGTATTACCTTGTAATATATATCTTAGTAAATTTATAATGAGGTATAGTATTCTTTTATAATAATATTGCCACGTTCCATTTTTCCAAGTTTTGTTACCGTCCCAAAACACTACACAATTCTCAGCGCAAACGGCGCCTGCAGTTTTCGAGAAGCTTCCGGACTGTAGTAGATAATTTCGATAAGATCACGCCTACTCTGCGAACTGTACAGATTATTCTGGAACCTACGCCACCGCCAGCGATAACGCTAGAACAATCGACGGCAAGAGTATAAATCCCGACGCGCTCCGCCGCTTATCAGTAGTTGATCGACGACCGACCCTCTGTTCGCCGCTATCAGTCCAAGACTGCTACTATAATCGGACTTTTCGTTTACCGGGTACAGGTTCGCCCAAATAAACAGTTAAATTCCAACGCAAAGTCTCCTGTCTTCAGCCACATCACGACCCCGTGACAAAATGGTTTAACATTTAACAAATGAGCACTTATATAAAAATATAAAACACTACAACCCCACATGCTCAAAAAGCTACAAGAAATACACAGATTACAAAACCTAGACACAGGAAGAACCTCAGATCTCAAGAGAACACAGCACAATATAAAGGGACCTCCATTACTTTAGAAACCCAACATTTAGTATTTGTGGATAATGCAGACTAACAGTATGGAATTCGCACATAAAAATAAAAAACATCAAAATATTTAGGACTTTAAACACTAAAAAATTTATAGCACTGCCGACCACCTAAGCATACAGCAGAGCCCGCAAGAAGCCTTTCTCGCAGATGTAAAGACACCATGTGCTCATCCGTAATTGGCCAAAAACGAAGGTTGCATGTACCTAATCACTTTACTGCAGCAGAACCTTGGCCGAGACATCTTTTGTTTGCTTTACTTTTCGTGTTCACCCAGAGATATGTGGTCTAATAATAATAATAATATGTGCGATCTGAGTCATTCCACACTAGCTGTCCAACCTCGGCATTCGACCATATGCGATTCGCTTAAAAAAAAAAAAAATTCAGAACTGTCTACACAAAGCCAAAACTGTTCCTTAGAAACATTTCTCGCGGAAAACATTTTCCAGTACCGCAAGCTTCATGTGAATTTTTTTCTAAAAGCTCAAAACCATAGCCCGTAAAACACGTGGAAAAATCTGTTCTTCCTAAATTAGGTCAAAATAAATTTTTACCTTTAGGACAATGATAGACATTTTGCTTAAAACAAGTTTTATAAAACTTTACACTGTCGTGAATTTTTTATGTGGCCTCGAATATGGAGAATATGGTCAATATTGGGGATTTTTTCATAGAAAGACATCAGTTGGTGATATGCGGTAGTTGACATAAGCATATTGCCGGATGTTTTTACTGTAGACCGCAAATTATTTCGGGCGTATATAGTGCAAAATGAACCGTACAGGTGGCGACTAAGTTGCAAAATGATCCTTTTTGCAGATGTTCGGCCATGAATTAAACATTTAGGGGGTCCTACTCAAAACATGCTCCCTAGCAGATTTACTAGCAACTTTCATTGCCTATTCACTCAGAATGTTTTATTAAATTATTTTTGTTTCAAGCGAGAAAAGCATTTTCGAATTTGTGCCTTACTGCTCTTGGGATTTGCATGTGTTTGTATGCCGTAGTGATGCGTCCTAGCCGTAAGTACAAGCTGCACTGACATTGGGGCCATCTGAACATAATCAACTTTGTCTGTGTTTATTTAAATTATTTCCAAGCTAGTATTACCCTTTGTGAACGAGAAACGCGAGACCTACTGAAATGCATTTAGCCACATACAGCTAAACGACACAACTTATAGCTGTCCGCTGTAAGTTGTGTCACGGCACGCCCATGCATGCAGCTACCGTATGCTCTTTTCGTCGTTGCCATCTTGATCCTCGTTTCCCGGTGTGATTTTGAGACCACAGTAGCTCTTAGTCAGATCAGTGTGGTCCTTCTCCTGAAATGAAGTGTAAGACTGCGGTTTCATCGAGTTGTTTGTCTCGCCTTTCTTAACGCGCCACATGTCGGTATCCAAGGAGTGGTTCAATCCGACGGAGCTAAGACCATTAACTAGCATGTCAAAGTTGACAGGTTGGACAACCAAACAGCCAGACTTCCAAGGGGTGCATAGTTCATGAGAAGTAACTTTGACAGTGCAACTCGGAACTCTTGTGTGAGATGGTGAATTAAAGTAGCTGCTGTGAGGAATGTAAAAATATGGCCGGTTCACTGGGAAGCGCGAGAGGCTAGTTAAAACTCCTGGAAACGCTTTCTCGGTATCATACACTAAATTCGTCTTCAGCATTGCGTAGGCCCATGTGGTGAGTCATTTGCTGTCACGTAAGACTATGAACACTCTGTGCTCGCGTGGTACATGCAAAATCTGCTGAATGAGTTCTGCAGAATTTTCACAGTCATCTCCTATTCCTGTTCCGCCTGGACAAACGGGAGCATCTGATTGCATCAGCGCCGACATTTCGGCATTGCCGGTGCTTGAGTCAGGCTGGTATCGCTTTGCGTCTGCTGTATCTGATTGCCCATTATGTGCACGTTTCCGTCTAACCCCTGGCATTCCATAGAGGCTGCGGGCCAAAACGTATAGTTCTACAATATTCTTCGTGCCCAGACTGACTGCACTTAATGCAGAGTGCCAGTTACCAGTGCGTCTAAAGTAATTCAAGAAGAGAGCTGCAGATACATGGTCAGCTGCAAAGACGTCCTTGCGACTTGTGGCTCGCTTGTAGGCTTCGTCGTGCGACTTGGCTATGCCGTTGTCCTCGTCCACCGAATATCCGTTGCGCAGTGGATTCCCGGAACCAAGGTACTGGTGGCCTGGGAACAGAGGCATACTGCTCAAGTTAGGAGATATACACATGGTAGTGGTAGCGACATCGTCGATTACTACGCTCTTAGCCGCCTCTATTTATTTAGATAAATCAGATAATTTTTTTAACCCTAGTGCTTTTCCTCTTTCTAAATAATAGATAAAGGTAGCGGTGTGTTGAACACATCGGTACCACTTCCCAATGCTGCGTTAGCATACTATGCAGGCTGCCAGCAGACAGCTGCTTGTGGCTAATGCAGCCTTGTAGGTTTCGCGTTTCTCGTTCACTAAGGGTAATACTAGCTTGTAAATGATTTAGATAAGCATGGACAAAGTAGATTAGATTGTTCAGATGATCTCCACAGTCCATGGACTTTGTACCTACGGCTACAACGCATTGCGAACCCCGAGAGCAGTAACACAAAAATTCGAAAATATTTTTCTCATAACAAATAGTTTTGATAAAGCTTTCTGAATAAGTAATCGATAAGGGTTACAAGTAAATCTGCTATTGAGCATATTTTTACTAGGAACACCTCAATGTTGAATTCATGACCAAACATGTGCAAAAAATAAACATTCTTGCAAATTTGTAGCAACCAGTACTGTTCATTTTTCACTATATACTCCTGAAATTATTTTCGGTCTACAATAAAACATTCTGGCAATGTGCTGGTGTCAACTATCGCATTTCACTGAATGTTGTCTTACTCTGGGAAAAAAAAAAAAAAAAAAACAGGACACTTACTATGCAAGTGCCCTGGTTTCCATCAAGGTGACAGGCCTAGAAGGTAAGACTCTGTCACAGATTGAGCAGTAGTTTGTGTCCTGCGCCTTGCCCAAGCAGTGGCATGGTATCCCGGGAAAAGTGGCGAACCAGACTCCAGAGAAGGAATTACTGCTGGCGCCCCAAGGACTACCATGAGAAGTCATAAATTCCCTAGAACCTTGCTCAATCGTTGCCATGGTCAACGGGCACTCCTTGGGCTGACAGGGTCACAGACTCCATGGCCGAAACACCTGCTACTCCTGTTTCCAGTGCACACAGAACAAATGGGGCATTACATCAATGTTAGCCTTGAGGGAGCATGCATCGACTCTAGAGAAGAACGTTTACTCGCATGTAACTTCACACTGCCGTCAGTGCAAATTTTCGTCAGAATTTACATGACACAAAAATTTCACACACACACAGACGTGAACATGAGCTAAGCTGTTGAGGAAGGCACAGATTGCACAAAAACCATGGTATGCATCAGCCAGCCTTTGATTGCGCTATATGACAGAGAATCAGTATAAACTGATGGAAGATAGAGGTGATGGGAGCAAAGAGACCATTTGTAGTGTGCCTCATATTCTTCTCTTCCTTTTTTCGTTATGTGCTGTTGTAAATATTTTACAGTCATATTGATTAAACATAGTTGCAAGTCAGCACCTATGAAGCTTTCTTTTCAACCAGCACCTCATCATTTGCCCTTCTTGACATAGTGAATGCGTACCAACTTCCCAGACTTCCCATTCTGTTGAGAATGCACAGCTGGCAAAGTAACCTTCCTAGACCAGAGGTTAGCTGACAATGCCAGCCCTCATCACGTTTCTTCACTCAAACACAACTCGGATCGCACGTCTATGGAATTTCCCACATATGCACTAAAGCTGTTTCAAATGCTTTCTCTGCTCCCTCGTCATCGCTTGCTACTGCATCGCCCGTCTCTTACTCATGACAGGCAGAAAACAAGCGGCGACCTAGGAGCACGAACAAGGGGCACTGGGCTATGTCACCACTAGGACGACACGACAAATGCCCAGGCAACGGCATAGAAGACAACGAACTTACATAACAGCCGTGATACTTTAAGCAGCCCTAAAAGTGAAAATAGCTGCTCAAAACTTGTATCTTACTGGTACTTACTTGAAAGACAAAAGTTTGAATGCTAAAAAAAAGTTCAACCGGCTCCAATTTTTTTTACACCCCCCAAACAAGCTCAGTAATTCATAAAGTAGACCGCAGCGATAACGTTTTCTGAATATTACAGAGCTGCACGTCGCAGAGAGCCTCTGTTTCGAAAAACAATTCCCACGCTCCTTTCCTACACCTGACCAATGCTTCTTCCACGCGCAGTGACGACTACTCGGCGATTGCCGACGTGACGCAGCACACAGCTCGTTGATTGGTCTATACCAGGCCTCAACAAACAAATGAAGCCAGCGACACTTCCTGTTCCCACCCACAGCGACGACAGATATATTCAATCATACGGGTTGCGAAACTCCCTATAGGCTCCATGTATCGCAATCGGGACACGTCACGTCATCGACACAGTTTTGGGGAGTGCGCCAATTGTCGTACTACCTAATGATAAGCACACCCACTATTAAACACATCATTTATGTTTTGTGATGCTGCTGTCAGATGGCATGACAGTTTGCTCCCACAAAAATGGAACTCCCGAAAAACTGAGCCAACTTCATGTTCGAGTTTTGGAGCGCAGTTTTGCTGCAAATTGTTGTCGGCTGCAAATCGAGTGACTGAGCTGCAAAGAAGCATCAGCACCAGGTAAACAGTAAACAAACAGGCATCGCAGCAAGCAGAAGTGCGCTGCGACTGATCCAGTTCGCCAATGATGTCAATTGCCAATGTCTTGTCACATTGCGAAAGTGGGCGTAGTCATGGCAAGGGGCTATGCTTTCCCCTCCCTCTGAAGGAGAAGGGTGGCAAGGTCGGGTGAAAGTTTGAAACCAGCTTAAAGCGATGTTCTAGCCCCTGTAACTTTCTTAATATCACAGGTATTCACGAAATTCTTGCGGCCGCATGTTTACGAAGTAAAAGTGCAGATATTTCTCATCGTAACAATTTTTGGACCTTGGTGATGTTTACTGGCCCTTTAAATTCAGGATGATGTAGCTGAACATGGAAAGAAAAATGACAGTTGTAACTTGAAGGGACAAGATCTGAGCAAGGTGGGCCAGAGAGAGAGAGAAAAAAAAAACATGCTGAAGACATTCAAGTCAAAATTAAGAAATTGGCATGAGCAGGGCATGTAGAACACAGGCAAGATAGAACTCCCAGAGCTGATAATTGCACCGGCAAGAGAATAGGGGGGGAGGGGGGGAGGCGAGGCAGAAAACTGGGTCGGCAGAAGAGATCAAGGCATTTGTACATTGCCACAGCAGTCAGAGGACCGGATTTATTAGAGATAAGTTTGAAAGGCTTTTGCTCTGCAGTGGATGTAGCAAGACTGACGATTACAATCACCAGGGCACTCACAATGGCCATAGTCGCTAGAACCTCAAACTCCTTTTTTACGCAGCCTTCTTAGCAGTTACGTTCAAAAATTTCGCCAGGATTATTATTGTTCATATGATTTGCTTCAGCCTATGTTTCATTATAAGCACTTGCATCTAAAGACTTAAATGTATCATTCTAAAGATAGCAGCAGCGACAGGAGCAGCAGTAGCTGTAGTAGTAGTAGTAGAGTAGTAGTAGTAGTAATAGTAGTAGAAGTAGTAGGAATAGTAGTTGTAGTAGTGTTTTATTTACTGCAAGGATTCATGAAATAGTTGTATAAAAAAGAGTGGAAGTGTACCAGCGCATTCATGAATAATTATAATAATCAAGGGGGATGTGGGGAAAAAAATGCAGAGGTGCTCTGACACTATAACCACTCAATGCTGCATTTTCACTGAAACTGACATACTTAGGCAGAAAAAAAAGAACAAGAAGTGTAAAAGTAACAGCTGTAGCAAAATTCTTACAAGAACTCGCACACTCTTTACATAAGTTAAATATTTACGCTATGACTGTAAATATTTCTGTAAGAGATTTATCGATATAATGCATGCTTTACACACACAGATGCACGTAACCTCAGTTCGCCTCACAATCCAGGTTGCAAGAGAAAACATAAAGAGAAGTTCATCTATTGTGTGGAAGCTGTCGTGTACAGCTTGTCTCTGTCACGTGGCAACACATATAGGACAAAGGGGGAGAAGTGTAACCTCTTGCCTCAGGAAATAGTGTCTAAATGTTGGAAGTGGGCAGAATTCTTAAGTAAAGAGTTGTGATTAATGTGATGATCTTAGTGTTTCTAGTGCTGACCAAAATGTAGATTAGAAAGCGGAACAGAAGTGCTTACCAATGTTGAAGAAATGCACCATTGTAACAAGAAGCAAAAGAAAACTCTCATCAAAAATGATCAAGGCAGGAAAGATAGACCCTTTAAAAGATAAATGTGTGGCCAAGCTGTCTATCTAGCTAGTGTCTAAAGAGTTATGGTACCTGTGAAGCCATTGATGGTGTCTTACTATATGCCTCCTGCACTGGCACCACGTAAGGTCACGTGTGCCCTTAGACATTCTGTTCCCCTGGCTCCAATAAAGTGTTGAAAGTTAGTGAGTGTTTTAGTCCTCTTCCGTGAACTTAAAATTTATCGCTCCAAGAAGCATGCAAATCAGTCGGAACACGAGATTGAGGAACGGCCTTCATAATATTTGCAAGGATTTCACATCCCAAAACCAGGGTATGATCCTGAGAGGCACCACAGCGGAGTGCTCCAAAAATTTTGGACCTTACAGGGTTCTTTTAACACACATCCAAATCTAAGCCTCTATATAAATGGGGCCATCGCGACTGAGAATCAATCCTGCTACCTCAGTGTCAGCATTCAGGCACCTCAGCCCCTAGACAACCATGACGGTTGGAATGGCCCTAACAGAGCCCAGTGTAAACTCTCTTAGGGCAAGGCAGTTTCTTAGCGGTGGTGTGGGCGAGGACAAATGGAAAGTCACTATGCACAGGGGCGCTTGTTGATGCATTTGCACCAACAAGCTCCCATTGCTATGCTCTCTAAGCGCAACCATTGCAAGTACCGCTCCAAAGTGCCCACCCACTACACTATAAATCATCACATTACAAGGTAGCCAATTACTACGCTTTAAGGTAAGAGCCAGTACCTGCAGTCTGCAGGGCAGTGTCATGCGGCTTTCTGCCCCTATATAATAACAACCTCAATAAATACATATCTGAAAAATCGCTAGGAATGTTCACCACCAAAAGTAGCATTGAAAGAGGCTTTCATTATTGTGACAGCATTAAAAAGCTTCTTTTGAAGAAACTCAGGTGTCACCGCTGGTGTCGTTACTTGCAAGCGAAAATCACCATCTTGTCCATGACAGAAAACTGAAAAACCAAGAAATATGCAAAACATTTCCGCTTCCAGTCTGAATCGAACAAAAGTGCTCTGCATGGCAAGCAGGGGCTCTACCATAGAGCCATGTTATTACTTGAAACTGCTCCGAAGAAAAAAAAAAATCTACAAGAATGACACATCGTGTCCCTAGCTCCTCACGAGTTGCAGCTCTTCATTCTTTGCTGTCATCCCAGCTCTTCATTCTTCGCTGTCATCCTCAGTGATGTTGGTCTTTTACTTCAAGTTAAAAATCCTCATCCTGAAGATGGTTTCGTTCAACATTACTCTTGAGAGCAATCTTAATTTCCTCCGCCGAAAGACTTCCACCACTCTCTGTTACGTCTGAGCGCGGAGGAAATTTTGCTCTCAAGCCAGTCCAATAAGCAAATTGCTTGCAGTGTGCTGCCAAAGGTACAAAGACATCCACAAAGGTACAAAGACATGCAGCGCAGTACTAAAGCAACGCAGGCGAAGGTCCGCCATAAGAGTGTTTCCTCTACTAGCTCTACGGCTATCGTGGAGCGGGTGCATTCTCGAATGATTAAAACATTGCTTGCATAATTCATAACAACACTTTTCTGGAAAATACAAAGTGCCCTATTTTAAAGAATTGCCAGTTTGAGGTTTCCGTTATGGAAGGGCACATCGAGGGCCGTAGCGATTTCCTATTTAGAGTGGTATTGAATTCATGCCTTACAAAAACAGTGAAGAATGCTACATAAACCAAAACAGGGTCGGTTCTAGCTGGAAAAGTCTGAGGATAACATTTATCTAACTAAAGTTGACACAGAAAACCTCGCAAAGCTAATATTCTGAAAGCGCTAGTAGTCACGTATATTTAAGAAAACTTCGCGTCCCGCAAGAACGAATCATAATAATCATGTCTTGGAAAAGCCCGGTTTGTTGACTAATGCAGAAATCATGCTAAATCGTAGTGTTCGTTTCGTGCTACCAATGTGTAGTCTACTGACCCTCCTCGACCAGCGGTGCCTCTCACTTACGCTTGGCAGCAAGACAGTCCATGTGCGTTGCGAAATGCGAATGCATGAATGCGTGAGACCAGCGCCTCCTAAAAAAACTTTTTTTCAAGGGGGCGTTGGTGAGACAATATTGTCATATCATAAAGAAACATACTTTTGTAAAAAGTGTCCGCTCAAGCCTTTTGGTGGCCGAGCAAGGAAGGGTCTGACCAACTGCTAGAGTGCTTACCCATGCTCGCTTCTACTCGCTAGTCAACACATGTAATAGCCGCCTCAGGAGGACCATGAAACCCAAGTTTAGCATCAAATTTTTAAAAAAAGAAATTTATCGATTTGCGATATACATAGCTTGCCTATGTATAACGTCACTATTGCTGCAGTCCTACTGCAGCGGCCATATTTATGAGCCGCCGCTCAAAATAGTCGTGCGTGCGAGTCGTATGATTGCAGTCTTCAGTATGACGGAGCTGCACTGTCACTGACTCTACCTTCCTCCCGATCGTTTTTTTTGTGTGTGGGTTGTGTGTGCACGCGTGCGCATCATGCCGCCGGTTGGCACAAGCCGTACTACTCAAAGTTGTTAGAAGCGCATTCTCGCTAGAGTGTACTAGAAGATTTCTCGCTACGAGGAGGAGGTGCACTGGTGCGACAGAGTGGATTCGTACACACTTAGATCCGGAATCAAGTACTTCAAATATCTTTGCCATCCCAGAAATGTCACACAATGACATTGTAAACAATTTGGTTTTGAGCACCAATTTTCTAACTTACGTGAAATGAAGGCTTTCAAATCAGTGGAAACGCACAACTACTTCACCAGCAGCAGGGAAAAAAGCCTGCCTGCTAACTGCTTCGCGACTGTAGAACGATCGTCGTTGCAGAGGTAAGTTTAATGGTTCGAGAAATTCATACATGCGCCAGCCCCGAGTTAATAAATAGTAATGCATGAACACTGCCTAATCAACAAATGCTGATGTTTGCACTCGGTTCTCACGTGAGTACAACGAGGTGCTCACACCGCAGTGCGTTTTTCGATCGCGCCTCCCCGTTTGCGTGTTGCTGAGTTGTCATAAACCTAGATGGATGCACATAGTACTGAGAATTTAGTCACTGCATGTTGAATGTCATCGACAGGGAGCCGCATAGCAATGCACCGAAGGCCCTAGGTGTATTGCTATGATCCCTTATCGAAGGTTGCAACTATAAGCATGACCCCTTCCCTCAAGAGAGAGAAACGTTTATTTTGAAACAGTGTTCCGAGAGAAACCCCGGTATCACGCTAAGGTGGAAGGGTTCCCTAATACAGGAACCCTCTGGCTTCAACTGCCCTCGTGGCCCTTGCAACGAGTTGTCGCTGGTCTTCAAGGTCCTCGAGGACGAGCTTGGCCTCCCACATTTCCATTCGGTGGATGTCGTTCGTTCTTCGTGCTTGGTGCCGCTGCAGTTGCATGTTGTGGTTTGCGCAGCACTGGCATTTCAGGAGCATGTGTGCCAGGGTGTCCGCTATGCCGCAGAGCGGGCACATGTAGCCATGTGTCGTTGGGTAGAGGCGGCGCATTAATATTTCATGTATGTAAGTGTTGCTTTGCAAGCGTCTGAAGATCACGCTTTCTTCTTTGGTTAGTTTTGCATGGGGTGGAGGGTACACACGTCGCTCCGGTTTGCAGTGTTGAAGTAGCGACGAGTAGGTGTTTTCTACTACCTCCATCTCTGCAGCCACGGATCGTGTATCCTTTGGTCTCAGGGCAGCCCGGCTGACATGCTCGCGGCAGCGGCTTGGGTCGCTTCATTTCCCTGCAGACTCTCCTGTCCAGGAACCCAGATTACAGAGATATATGGAAGCGGCGAGCTTCGCCGTTGCAGGATGTTATTTGCGTCGCCTGTGAGACGCGACTCTTCGCATAATTCGAAAAAAAAAAAAAAAAGCACTGCCGAGGCTAACTTTCGAGCGGGTTCGCCCCTTCTTTCCGTTCAAAAGGTCTGTTATGAGATAACGCTCACAAGGATCGCGGCAGCTAGCACCAACTTATGACGCAGATGGCGGTTCGTCGCTGAAGGCGCGTTTCGCGTGCGGTGGGGAGATGACATGACACGCACTTTAAAATCACTTATATTAAGGCCTTGACAAATCTATCCGACAAGTTACCGCGTTTTCAGTTTTGTCAGTAGTGATATAAAGAGGCATTCACACCGGCGACTAACAGAAGCCTACGACTGGCACCACCGACCGCGACACCGTTCGTCAACAATGCGATGCTACAAGTTTCCCGTTGTCATCAGCAGTGCTCGCCCGGCTCGTTCCTTGTCGGCCTTTTGCAAACTGGTACGCGGTAGCCGCGACCCAACCTGCGACTGGTGCGTCCCACTACATCGCGACGGCCAACGTATCTAGAGTCGCGGTTTCGGGTGCGTCTGGCCCACAGTACCTTCAGCTTTTGAGATTCGCGCACACCCGACACATCTTTAGACACAGCGTTCGAAATTTCACGGGACGCTAAGCAAGTCGTCGTCACTTAAATTTTTACACAGCACAAAATCGACTTACACAGCACAAATTTTACACAGCACAAAATCGACTCGCATCAATTTAGAAACTGCAACGCAGCCTGCAGTTCAGAATGGGCACACTCACAGACCAAATCGCTACGCTTAAACTACGCGATGGAACAGAGACCTAGGTAAGGCAGCATGCATGGCTGCGCAGTGGCTGCACAACAATGAAAAGACAGCTTGGAGCCCCGAAACAAAGACAAAACACTTACGAAAGCTGAAGCATAGCCTCCTATATTTAGCCTCCTCCTCCTCCATAGCCTCCTCCTATAGAGGAGGCTATGGCTGAAGCGTATGTACCACAGACCACGACCAGCAGACCGAGCGTACTGCCAGCGTACTTCATCCTGGGTCGATGAATGGATTGATATGGCTGTACCAACGCCTCCTCTAAACAATGCCTGGGGAATGGCTCGCGCTCCCAGCGGAGTTGGCCTGCTTTCAGTTTTGAGCAAGCGCCGCGCGGTGGCGCTCGCGACCGAGACTATTATTATTAGGCTGATAAAAACATTAGGTCCGAAGTCTAAGCAGGCTTTGAGAGAGGCAGTGAGTACAATAATAATCGATGGCGAAGTTCCCGATGGATGGAAACTTAGCAGGATGAGCATGATCTATAAAGGAAAGGGGGACAAAGCTGACATAAACAACTACCGTCCTATAACAGTGACATCAGTGGTCTACAGGCTGGCGATGCAGATTATAAAGGAAAGACTGCTGGCGTGGATAGAGGATGAGGAGGTGCTGGGGGAACTGCAGAATGGGTTTCGGAAACACAGGAGGTTGGAAGACAATCTGTTCTCACTGACGCAGTGCATCGAAATAGCAGAAAAAGAACACAGGCCCCTGTGGCTAGCATTTTTGGATATCAAGGGAGCGTACGATAGCGTGGTTCATGAGGAATTGTGGGGAATACTGGACACACTAGGCGTGGAACATGTAGTCACTAATCTTTTAAAGGGTGTCTATGAAGGTAACAAGGTAGTTATAAAGTGGGAAAAACAGGTATCCAAGCCTGCAGAGGTAAAACGGGGGCTTAGGCAGGGGTGCCCCCTGTCACCCTTATTATTCATGATGTACCTACAAGGATTAGAGGCAAAATTAGAGGGAAGTGGACTGGGCTTCAACCTCTCTTTAGTCAAACAAGGAAAACTTATTGATCAGGCACTACCAGCATTAATGTACGCAGATGATATAGTGCTAATGGCCAACAACAAGGAAGATTTGCAGAGATTGATGGACATCTGCGGTAATGAGGGAGATAGGTTAGATTTTAGATTCAGTAGGGAAAAATCAGCAGTCATGATTTTCAATGACAACGGATGTAGTGAGCTTAGAATACAAGAGGTCACGCTAGCGATAACAGATAAATACAAATATCTGGATGTATGGATAAGCAATGGGACCGAGTATTTGAGGGAACACGAAATATACGTGACGACTAAAGGTAACAGGAATGCAGCAGTGATGAAAAATAGGGCACTGTGGAATTACAATAGGTATGATGTTGTGAGAGTAATATGGAAAGGGGTCATGGTTCCTGGGCTGACGTTCAGCAATGCGGTCTTGTGCATGAGATCAGAAGTTCAAGCAAGATTAGAAATTAAGCAACGTGGAATAGGTAGGCTTGCTTTAGGAGCTCACGGGAATACACCAAATCAGGGAGTACAGGGTGATATGGGATGGACATCATTTGAGGGCAGGGAAGCTAGCAGCAAGATAAAATTTGAGAAGCGATTGAGAGAAATGGGGGAAGAGCGTTGGGCTAGGAAGGTTTTCAGCTACTTGTACATGAAGGATGTCGATACAAAATGGAGGAAGCGAACCAGGAAGGTGACTGGTAAATACTTAGAAAACAGCAGGTGGCCAAACCAAAAAGAACTATCGGTTAAGAAAAAAGTGAAGGAAACGGAGACTGACATGTGTAGAATGGGCATGATTAAGAAGTCCGCACTTCAGATCTATCGAACTTTTAAGCAGGAAATTGCCAAGGAAAGGATCTATGATAATACTCGGGGTAGTTCTCTACTGTTTGAGGCTAAGACGGGAGTACTGCGAACCAAGACATATCGGGCCAAATACGAAGGGGTCGACACAGTATGCAGTGCGTGTGGAGAGGAAGAAGAAACTGCCGAACACTTGATAATGTTCTGTAAAGGGCTTCACCCTATAGTTCAGGATGATGGCGCAGAGTTTTTCAAAGCACTGGGATTTAGGGACATCGAGGGCAAAATAGACTTTAAGCGGGTAGACTTAACTAGAAGGAGGTTATCTGATTGGTGGCTAAAGTCAAGGCACGAGTGAAAATTAAACCCTTCACTGCGAAGTACGAATCCTCAACTTCATTATTTAAAGGAAAAAAAAGGTTAATGTAATAGTTAGTTCACTAAGTATTACGGCTAGGTAGCGTTAGCCGCCGCCCGATCTAAAGGGTACAGCCACATACATCCATCCATCCATCCATTATCACGGCAGCGGGCGGTACCACACCGCGTCGGCTGCTGCTGACGTTCAGCCGCGCGCTGTGCTCTGCGCTGTGCTCTGCAAGCTGCGCTCTGCTCGACAAGGCTGCGGTATCATTGTCGTCGTGGCTGCCGGCGTTGCTCGGAGAAGGCTCACGCTTTCTTTCCCGTATTCTTCTATCCCACTTTACTGCGACCCTTTCGATGTCCACAGTCTCGCCAGTCGGGTCGTCAAACACGCTTGGAACAGCGCACGGTTTTAGAAGTCGTCTTGTGCAACCGTCTTTGAAGTCACATGGAAGAAAGTGCAGACTGCATACCACTGAGTAGTTTGAGGTACTGTTTGGCACCCACTCTTCTCTTGAAATGGCCGTTAACCATCGCTCGCGTGAAGTGCTCTCAGTAGGTATCTCATGAAAAGATACGCCGTCTTGTTTTCACCGCTGACCAGACCTGCACTTTTTCACGCAACAATAGCGCATGTCCGAGTGTATATGGTTGGACCTGACGCACGCACAACACAAGTAGTAGGCACAAACCTTTCGAAAGGAAAAAATGCAAGTACTACCAGTAATGCATGCGTGCGCACCCCTAGCACTCGCACTGCAATGTACGTCTGCTAGCTGTCAGTGATTTCTTGCGCGAAACGACAAAAACAGTTGAAAAGACAATGTAAAATACTTTCCACTGTCTTAAAACTTATTATTTATCATTCTTGCGTCCAATTTTGCTATAAAACGAGTTATTTGCTTGTTCGTCTGCAGTAATTATCAAGCGGAACAGCACGCCACGCGCTTTTTTTTTTCTGCGCGAACGTCGTCTGCTAAACGTTTTTCACCGCCGTTCATAGGGGGTGCGTTAGTCGAGAGTTGTTCGAGACCTGCAACTGTACACCGCTACTTCGGAGGTTATGCAAAGTGTTGCGTTGTTGCACCGTCAGTCATAGGTGACGCTAGCGACCAAGAACATTTAAGGTCTAGGGACCTTAAGAACATTTAAAATAAAGGAGGAAAAGGGTGTGGCAGCCGTCTTTTTTCTCATGCGGCAGGCATCTTCTAGAGGAGGCGTTGGCTGTACGATAGAGTAACATAAACTATTACGCTATGGCTGTACCCTTTAAATTGGACGGCGGCTAACGCTACCTAGAGGTGCCAATAACGCACACGACAAGTTAGTACATGAAGAAAAAAAAAACACTCAGTTAGTATCTAGTTCACTGTAAAGTTAGTAAGCGGTGAGACAAAACCTAGTATGCGTAGTGGAAGAACGGTGGTCGCATTTGCAACCACCATAGAGAGGGCGTCACAACCAAAAGTTTTGCTAGATGCGCGAAATTTAAAATTGCAGTGCTAAACTTTCTGCTGTTCTTGAGTAAAATGATTACATTACACAATTGAAACTATAAAGATATGAAAAATATGAACTCCTTAACATATTTAGACGCATTATTTTGATAAATAAAGCTGCGTATGATCATCTAAACTTGCATATTTCCTGCAGCTAAAACAGCGACAAGAAAACTTCCATACTTACTGTTCTGACTGCAAAAACTAAGAATGATTTATACAAAGAACATCGCTATTTATTGCATTAATATGCACGCCTGCCTAGCTAACGCACTAACCTAAACCAACGCCTCCTTGAGAAAGATGCCTGAGGAATGGCTCGCGCTCCCAGCGGAGTTGGCCTGCCTTCAGTTTTAAACAAGCTCCACGCAGTGGCGCTCGCGACCGACACTATCTAAAGGGTACAGCCACATCCATCCATTGTCATGGCGACGGGCAGTACCAGCTAAGCGTTTTTCATCTGCCGCCCATAGAGGCGCATCAGTTGAGAGTTCTTCGAGACCTGCAACTCTGCATCACTGTTTCAGAGGCTATGCAAAGTGTTGCATAGTTGCACCGTTCGCCACAGGTGACGCTAGCGACCGAGAACATTTTCAAATTGAAGGAGGAAAAGGGTGTGGCAGCTGTTTTTTTTTTCTCGTGCGGCAGGCATCTTCCTAAAGGAGGTGTTGCTTGAACTTATGCAAACCCGCAATGGTGGTCTAGTGGGTAGGGCACTTAACTAGCGACGCGCAGGTCACGGGATCGAATCCCAGCGGCGGCGGCTGCATTTTCGATAGAGGCGAAAATTTTGAGGCCCATGTACTTAGATTTAAGTGCACGTTAAAAACTCCAGTTGGTTGAAATCTCCGGAGCCCTCCACACGGCACCTCTCATAATAACATTTTGGTTTTGGATCGTTAAACCCTAACATAATATTATTATTGAAGTTATGCGACAAAACAAAAGTAGGAGGTGCGGAAGCATAACAGTAACACGAATAGGTGGTTTCCCCAACCACCCCTTACGTTCATGTGCCAGGAGAGTAATCGCAAAATTTTCAAAAAAAGAAAAAAAAAGAAACCGCCAGACCTGCGCGGGACGCGTCACCCATTCAGTCACAGAAAGCTGGGACAGCGGCCTTTCCGAGCCTTCTTTAAACGCTATCTAGGTTACAGGCACAAGCACACTTGCAGGGCACCCACAACGCCATAGTTCACAACTTTTGTGCCGTATAGGGCAAGGGCGTAGCCAGACATTGTTTTCGGGATGAGGGGGGGGGGGGGAAGGGGTCACACCAACCCGACAGCGGAGGGGGGGGGGGAGGGGCACAGGCGTCAGCTTTCCTCTCTGACGTGGCTATTGGCGGTAGTTTGCGCAGATTGTGTACACGTATATGAAAGTCATGAAACTCCCCCCGCCCTCCTCATGCGTATGCTTGTG